TTGCAACAACTAAGGGAAAAAATGTGGCGTGAGGAAAGTTGAAACAATGACTACAAATATAAGTAGCTTCATTATTTGCCTACGTTCGTCGCATGATTGCAAGTGACGCCTGTAGTTTGGTTGAAATTCGAGAGCGCAAGGTGTACGCGAAGAGGTGACGGCAATGAAGAGGCGCCTTCCGAGACGGAAGATGACACGCCGTGTGGGCCGTATCCTGCGGTTTTCTTTTCGTGTACGTGCATATTGCCGCGAGGCGTATTGCTGATAGTGTAGCGCATGCCGATACTGCCGGCACGCGGCCTTATCGTGGTCCAGGATGCACCGCGATTCGTCTGCCAAGATCATGGCCCGCACGTCGACCATTCGTTGATAACGAGATAGCACCAGACAATACGGCGACTGTATCTCGGATGGTGAACGTGCCTTGCGTTCCAGTGGGACATTCTGTTCCCCGACGGCCGTCGAACGCGCTGTTCGCCTCCCGCTAAGCCGGTGTGTCTGTTTTTTCTTTAGTGAACGCAAGTCCGCCAAATAAACGGATCTCCTTCTATTTATACTAACCTCCTGGTCTCCTGTCTTCGGGCTACCCTCAATTTTACGTGACATCTGGTAGAGGTGCTGGGTATGCACAAAAACGACCTTAAAACAGCCACTGCAGAGAACGAGGACGCTGAAGACACAGATACTCGAAGCAGTCGCCGCCTCCGAAACCTGCCACCTGAGCTGGGACCGCTACCGGACCCCACGCGACCACGAAAGGACGCTTCCACAGCCACCATGAGCACCCCGCAATCACCTACCCCTGTCATGCTGCAGCAGCCCTGGGTGCCCCCAACTTTCCATGGTTATGCCGCTGAAGACCCAGAAGAATGGCTCGACCAATTCGAACGCGTTGCTACCATAAACAGTTGGGATGAAGAAATGAAGCTGCGATACGTTTACTTTTCCCTGGACGGCCCCGCCAAAACGTGGTATGAAAACCATGAGACCACAATGACCACCTGGGAATTTCTGAAGAATGGGTTGCTCAGGACCTTCACCAGCATCATGCGAAAAGAAAGCGCCCAGCTGCTGCTAGAATCGAAGACCCAACAGGCCAATGAGACCCTAAACGTGTACGTCGAAGAAATGAAACGTCTTTTTAGGCGAGTGAACCAAGACATGACCGAAGACAAAAAGGTCGGATACCTAATGCGAGGGGCGAAGGAGTCGCTTTTCGCCGGTCTCATAAGGAACCCTCCTAAAACAGTCGCCGAATTTACTGAAGAAGCGCACACCATAGAAAGGACCCTGGACGCCCGGACTCGGCAATACAACCACCCGTTTCAGCTCAGCTCGCTCTACTCGGAACCGATTCGAGGTGGGCTAACCACCAACGATCTGCGCGAAGCTATTAGAGAAGTGGTTAAGGAAGAACTACGCCGATTGCTACCTCCTACCACCCAGCCCCCTCGAGGAGCATCTCTCTTGGACATAGTGCGTGATGAAGTCCAGCAGGCGCTTGGCTCTTCATCAGCGACGACTCGAACAGAGGCCGAAGCAATGACTTACGCCGCTGCAGTGAACACTAGGCCACCCCGACGAAACGAGCCCAGTCCTCGACGGTACGCTGCAGCCCCAAGTAGCCGTCCGCCCTTACCTGCTTACACTACATACGAGAGACGCCCGAGCCAAAGAAAATGCGACACCTCGAGAACTCCCGACGACCGTCCCCTATGCTTTCACTGCGGTGAGGCCAGCGACATTCTTCGACACTGCCCCTACAGGCGGATGGGACTGCATGGCTTCTCATCTCAGGCACCACGGCCACGCCCTGGACAACGACCTCCGGCAATCGAAGACTACTTGCGCCATACAGAGTACTTGTCCAGCCGTTCTCCATCACCGCCATCCCCACGCTTCACGTCACCGAACCGCAGCAACAACGAACGAAGAAGGTCCCCAAGCCCCCGTAGGGGAAACTAAAACCAGCAACCTTTGGAGGTGAGGTTGCTTCAAAAGGAAAAGCTGAAGACCCTCCACCGACGACCATATAAGACGACAGCACATCATCTACGACGACGACAACGCACAACAACCCAAGCTGCGAGACGAAGCAAAACGAAGCAACAAGACGAAGCCGTGACCCGAACCCAGAACCAACGCGCAACTCCAGCCCACGTGCCACCGATTTTGAAGTATCTATCGACGGCCACCCGGTAACTGCCTTGATTGACACAGGAGCTGACTACTCGGTCATCAGCGGGCCATTGACAGCACAACTGAAGAAGGTTAAGACGGCTTGGGACGGCCCGCAGATCCGCACAGCGGGAGGCCACCTCCTCACCCCATCGGGGCGATGTACTGCAAGAGTGACATTCGATGGTCACACATACTTTGCCACTTTCTTGGTGCTCCCACAGTGCTCCCGTGACGTCATTCTCGGCATGGACTTCTTGACTCAACATAACGCGGTTATTGACCTGGCGTCCAGATCCATCAAACTTTCCTTGGATGAAGCCATAAATTCATACTCGGCACCACATAATCGCGCAGCCCTCCGTGTGCTCGAGAATGACGTGAGCGTCCCACCCCGATCAACGACCCTAATCCCCGTAACCACTGGTACTGCTGAAAATGCTCATGGCGTCGTCGAAGGTAACATACAGCTTTTGCTTGGCCGTGATATCGCAATCGCAAGAGGCATTGCGGACTTCCGGAATGGACAAGGCCCAGTGCTGCTAACAAATTTCAGCCAAGAACACCGTCACCTGGCCAAAGGCACGACCATTGCCTTTCTCGATGAAATCGCGGAAGTCAGTGACACCCTCGCCCTCTCGAATCCAGCGACCATCACCCCACAGACCCACAACTCGCAGCTGTCATTCAACATTAACCCTTCCTTGCCTCAATGCAAGCAGCAACTGCTCCAGAACCTCCTTCGACGTTATGACGACTGTTTCGCCACTTCTTCACAGGTCCGACACACTTCTCTGGCAAAACATCGAATCATAACAAAAGAAGACATCCGCCCTCTCCATCAAAGCCCTTATCGTGTGTCGGCACGTGAACGTCAGGCCATCCGAGAGCAAGTTGAGGAAATGTTACACGACGATGTAATTCAGTCATCGAAAAGCCCATGGGCGGCACCAGTCGTCCTTGTCAAAAAGAAAGACGGAAGTCTTCGGTTTTGCGTCGATTACCGACGGTAGAATAGTGTAACCAAGAAGGACGTGTACCCTTTACCAAGGATCGACGATACCCTAGATCGTCTTAGTGATGCAAGGTACTTCTCGTCCATTGATCTGAAGACAGGGTATTGGCAAATTCAGGTTGATGAAAGAGACCGAGAAAAGACCGCCTTCATCACGCCGGATGGATTGTATGAGTTCAAAGTTATGCCATTTGGACTTTGTTCCACTCCAGCAACCTTCCAGCGTCTAATGTACACAGTACTGGCAGGTCTCAAGTGGCAAATATGTCTCGTATACCTGGACGATGTAGTCGTCTTCGCCTCCAACTTTAGCGACCACCTGAAAAGGCTCCGGACGGTACTGGATGCAATTAAGTCATCAGGGCTGACACTGAAGTAAGAAAAATGCCATTTTGCCTATGAAGAACTACAGTTCCTTGGCCATGTTATAAGCAAAGATGGCGTAAGAACCAGTTCCCGAGAAGACAGCCGCTATCGCACAGTTTCCCCAACTGCAAGATAAGAGAGCAGTGCGCCGATTCTTAGGACTGTGCGCCTATTACCGACGCTTCGTTAAGAACTTCTCACACATTGCTGCCCCTTTGACGCAGCTCACCAAGTCGGACGCCCCTTTCGAATGGAAAGCTGAGCAACGTGAGGCATTCAAAGAACTTCAACAACGTTTACAGTCGCCGCCTGTGCTGGGTCACTTTGATGAAAATGCCGAAACTGAGATACATACAGACGCCAGCAGCATCGGCTTAGGTGCCGTTCTCGTTCAGAAGCACAAGGGCTGCGAGCGCGTCATCGCGTATGCAAGCCGCACACTGTCGAAAGCATCGACCCAATGCTTTTAAACAAAGCATTGTGTCGATGCTTACGTTGAGGAGGGGAGCAATGCCGCGAGGCGTATTGCGGATAGTGTTGCGCATGCTGATACCGCCGGCACGCGGCCTTATCGTGGTCCAGGATGCACCGCGATTCATCTGCCAAGATCATGGCCCGCACGTCGACCATTCGTTTATAACAAGATAGTGCCAGACGCTACGGCGACTGTATCTCGGATGGTGAACGCGCCTTGCGTTCCAGTGGGACATTCTGTTCCCCGACGGCCGTCGAACGCGCTGTTCGCCTCCCGCTAAGCCGGTGTGTCTGTTTTTCCTTTAGTGGGCGCAAGTCCGCCAAATAAACGGATCTCCTTCTATTTATACTAACCTCCCGGTCTCCTGTCTTCGGGCTACCCTCACTCTTACGTGACAATATTTTCTTTGGTTTCTTTTCCCCGCACCATACGGCACGCGCAGATCTCGTCGATGACACGGCGAAGACCGATTTCATGACATTATAGTGCTACAAGATGTAGCTGCAACAGCGCATGCGCGAATGTTGTAGAATCGCTGTTAAAAAAATGTTACACGTGGGTTGCCCGCCTCCATTTTTCATTCGCTGCCAGTCGCGCTGTGCACTCTGTAGACGGCAGTTCTTCGGCGCCATATGAAATGGCCTGCTTCAGGCACGGAGCGGGTGATAGTCGTAGTACGTATATGTTGCGTTTCAACCTTTTCGCGTTTAAACGTGGCGCCCCGGTACTTAACCTCGACTTGTCCCCGCACTTCGAGAAAATGGCAACGTCTGAACTTCATGTCGGCACCTAACGCCGTGGTCTGCACAGCGCGTCACGACGAGTACCTCCTACGGGAAGAGCGCAGGTGGGTTATCGTTTTCGTAACGCCTTCACGCGTGTTACAGTTGTTCACGATTTGCGTGGTCGCTTTGCAGTGTTAATAACTTGCCTTCTTTTTTTCTTTGCATCTTCAACTTGGCTGCTTTGTAAGAGTTCACATGTGGCAGCCATGGCTTCGCGCTCAAGCTTTATTCGCGAGTCCGCGTTCATTTTTATACGCGTGCTTTCATCTTTACTTTCGGTCGTCTTTGCGAGTTTTGCTTTCGTTCCAGGAGTACCGACGTATACGTACCAATGCGCCCCGTGCCACTTGAGTGCTTCTTGACTCTGTGCCGAACGTGCTGCCTGCATTGCGTCGAGTAAGCATGTCTCTCGTATTTCCGTGAAGAGTACTACATTAAACGCGTAGGGCCACCTGGTTTCGAGCGCCTTACCAATCACGGCCATCGTTCGCTGAAAGGCTAAAATAGCCGTGCCAAAAGACCACCACAGTGACCTGGCAGCTTACTCGTTGCATTGATAAAGCTAGCACTTAGGCCTTGCCGTTGCCGACCATGGTAGGCGCACGTGTTTGGTTGATAGCAATTTTCCGCGCGGTCGAATTCAAGCGTGGGCGAGCGCGGTGACTTTCCTGTGCGTCAGCGCGCCGTATGATGCAGCCGAATTGCAAAAAGGGTACGCGCGTGCCCTCAAAAGCGGGCTCAGCCAACACCACCTAGACTTTGTCAAGGTGGTGTTGGCTCAGCTCTCCACAACAGCGTGGGCGGGCGAATATTTTCTTTCGGTATTTTCTTTTCTGTACGTTGCAACCACAAATCAAGGAAATAACATTGCAAAATACGCCAGCGCTGATGAGATAAACAGTAGAGCGCGGTTAAGCTGCAGCGCGCTGATATCAACGAATAGACTGGCAAGCTGAGCTCACTTTTTGGGCAAGTGCTTACTCTCACCCTGTTATCAAACTCCGTTCCGTCGTACGGCGCTGACGCACAGAAAAGTCTCCGCTGGCGTGCGATAGTTAGATTTGACCGGCTGTACTTCTCGAAATGGGCTCATTTGCCTGTTTTCTTGTTTTTTGCCTCGCTTCTAACAGTTGCTAATCTTTACAGACCGTTCATCAACACAGGCGCACTGCAGAGCTATCAAAGGCTTCCGGTGGCTGAACTCAAGCGGAAATGGGGTTAATCTTATGGAATGTGTACACTCACCAGGGTTTTCTTTGTTGGAATGAGTTTCTTGCTACACTGTGGTGCACATAAATGCTAACAGTAATGCCAGCACCTGGGTCTCAAGTCAATTTTTTCCTCCAAATTGTTGGCTGCTCAGTTGCGTGTTGCCACTTGAAATTCCTTTTCGTGATTCTAGTCTATTAGTTCTAATTAATGCTGCCGATCATAGCTCAATGGCCCCTCAAATTTCGGCTTTCGTTCATTCATAGTGAGGGTATATGGTCCCTAGAATATGAACCATAGTGAGAGTTTCGTTCTGGCAGAATGGAAGTTGCCAGCTCGTAGCGAGAACTTGTTTGACGCCAGCAGGTACAAATGTGTTCAACACGCGCCGCCACGGCTACTAGCGGTGCTGACTTGCGTACAAACGGCGCATTCAGTGTGCACCCACACTTGGATCATCGTGAAGAGAACAGCGCAGATGGTGGGGACGAAGACGCAGTATGCAGCAAAGACTTTAATTAATGGACCTCTGCTCGATGAAATTCAATCACTCGTGTAAGCGTATGTCATGTACTCGCCGTTTCAAACGGGGAAGTTTAGGGCTAAGTACCACACACTTTTGTTTGGGAAGTCCTCAGTTTCCGTCTTATAGGCATAATTTTGACTCCAACACGTACATCGGATCCGACAATATCATTAGAGACCAGATTTGCCACGACTTACCGTGGTTATCTTCAGAAACCAGTCTTTATACTGAAAAAAAAAACAACTTCATATCCGGCGTGGCTTCGTGAGTATAGTACATAGAGTAACAAGGCTATACAGCGCTCATGCAATCAACATAGCAATTTAGCGTTAAGTAATGCAAAACCCTGAGTTTCGGCAGTCTTCAGTTCGTGATAAGTTTTCGTGTTTTCGACGAGAGTGTTGCTTGCGTTAGCAATGGCTGTAATAGCCAGATTCAAAGTGGCATGATGTGGTTATTTAAGCAGTGTTCCAATCAAACGAAGCAGCAGCTTGGAAAAGCTGTAGATGCCATTATATTCGCTTAGCGCTGAAAGCATAGTACTGGCATAGGTGTGTACCTGAAGGAGGCCGAGAAGAAGAGATGGGGGAGGGTGCTCACCCCTTAGTCGCCTAAAACGATAGGCGAAGTCTGTGCACTATAAATTAAAAAAAAAGGGGGGGGGGGCTGCGACTATGAGGTTCCTTGATGCGCGCGGCGGAGGAGGGCGCGCGCATCGAGGAAATCCATAGCTTCGACGACTCCCCCCCCCCCCCCCCCCCCAGCAAAGGAGAACTCTGCGCGCGCTTCCGTACTATGAACTCAGTTTTTAATCAAGCACTGGATCGAAATGGGCAGACCACTTCTAGTATAGAAATTGGCTTAGCCTCTTGGCAAAAGTTTTATCAATGTACTGTACCACCAAGCGCCACATATTTACCACAGCATATAATTTTGTAATGAATAGTACTAATGCTGCAATTGCATCTGTATTTCACTCGTATCTTCAGTCCGCTGTCTACTGAATACAACTGCAATCTTCCTCCTTTGTAAATGTAAAATGGCATATATAATTGACCTCGCTGTGCCGCAAGGTGTTCTAAACTTGGTATACCACCAGATGTCAGTGTCTATCGCTAGATGTCGGTGTATATCGGAAGATTTGTAAAACAGGTGCATCATGTCGCATGGTTAACATGTGACCCTATTTTTCTTCTAGCTTAACAACCATGGCGTCTGGTGCATGAAACTGGCAATCTCGCCCGTCCGTTGCATACATCGCCCAGTCTTCGCTTTCTGAACCTCCTCGGTCGAACGTCCTTCCTAAGAGCGTTGGATCTCTCTGTTTGGCGGCCTGCAGCGACTTGGTCAAGTGCGTTTCTTTTTCTGGTGATTGCTTTCGTAGTCCGTGTTTGCATATCGCCAAGCATTGGTGAGCCATCATGTAATGAAATTTTGTGCAGCACTTGGTCTGATCATCTCTTGTAATCCTATTTTAGCAGATAATGTTGAAGGTGTGTGGCGACAATTTCTGTGGTCTGCGCAGACCTAGACACTCGCAGCATTGTGCTAGGGGTGGGTTCGTAGGCGTGCACATGGGGGGGGCGTGAGGGCGAAAATGTGGCAGTCTTCCTGGTACCTTAGGAGAGGGGTGTGTGCAAAGTCTACCCTCATGCATTGACCTAATCGTAGAGGGGGGCGCCGCACCCCCCCCCCCTTCCGTACCTGAAGGGGAACCTTTCTCACGCCTATGGGTAGGTTATTCAAACTTCGCGGTGTGAAAGCGGCACCGAGAATGGTTCGATATATTAATTAGGCGCAAAGAATGGCGATGTACAAAAAAGGACACACGCACGACTCCTCCCTTTCCGTGGGTGTATTTTTTATTCTGTCGTATTTTTTGCGCAAGCTTCTATTTCAAATCGTGCAACGCCAACACGCCCAGTAGTTCACTGTCGCGCTGATAACGGACTTCAAAAGCACGTGCTTTCGGGTGCACGTTAAAGAACCCCAGGTGGTCGAAATTTCCGGAGCTCTCCTTCACTGCGTCTCTCATAATGATATGGTGGTTTTGGAACGTTAAACCCGACATATCAATCCATCAAAAGCATGTGCGTGTGCCGGCCCATGTGTTTGCATACCTGTACCCACTGTCCGCTGCCTGCACTACCCGGTATATGTTTAAGCTAATGTGAGTCAGTCTGGTAAACATTCCTTGTCAAATTTGTAAGTGGTTTTGTTGCTACAAGGCAATCGCATTGGCAGGTGGGTACACTTGCCCAAAGGCTCCGTGAAAGTCGGTTGCTGTGGCTTGTCACAGAGAGTTGGCAAAATAATGGGGAAAACATCGAAAGTGACCTTACAGGTTTGGGCTTTGGCAACAGGAAGACCACCGGAATCGCATCACGGCTGCTGTATCTGATGGGAACCTTAGGATAAGTCTGAAAGACGAGTTTCAACGATGCTGCAGCCATTTAACATATGTAGTCTCGAAACGAAAGCAGACTCTTGGAGGGAACGGGCACAGCAGGTGCGGTGGAGCAAAACCAAAACACTGTGTACCTTTATTCAATTGCATTACTTCTACATGGCCGATATCGTCAGACGAGTGAAATGCATCACTAGCTATCGACACTCCAAACACAACCTCATATAATCCAATACGCTCAATCAACATGACAACGGACACAAGATAACGCGAAGGCAGCGCCGCCCATGAGCGGCCCTATTTCGCGCGTGGCGGCTGGCGTGGACGGTTCTCTCCTGGTGGTGTCCCACGAACAGTCTCCCGTGGATTCCCTCGTGGCGAGTCGAACATCAGTGTTAATTGAGTGCATTGGAGTATTGCATGAGGTTGCGTTTAGCACGTTGATCACTAGTGATGAATTTCGTTCGGCTGACGATATCGTCTGTGTAGAATATTTGAACAAATCTACACGATTTGTTGCTTTAGCCGACCTTGCCTGACGAGTCTGTTTGCTCCGTGAGCGGGTCATCATTTCGAAACCTCACGCATGTTAGTCAGTGATACTTATTCACGGCACCTGACTTTCGGGAGCCCTGGGAGCGTGTAAACCGTACTAGCAGTGGTGTGTCTATGCCACTGCCAACAGAATCTTTAGAAGACCGTATACATGCCCAGGTGACCATTTGAATTTTTATATCCTCTGATCGGGTCAAACCCGCGGGTCCGTTTCTACTCCCGCGCTTTGTATTTTAGTACCTTACGCTGCTTGTACTACCAGCAACTACACTGAAATGTACATATGGTCAAGCCAAGCGCAAATGCCCGCTTTTGGCCTGTAGATTAATTTCCAAGTATACATACCATCACCGCTATCATTGCATTCAGTTATCCATGGGTTCAACTTCTCATACGAAATGCGTGTAACTGGTAATTTACCCACTGGACTACATCGTCGCAATTGAGCGCACACTGGTGCAGACATATGGTAATGGGACATGGACCCTGACTGTGACTTTATCCTCGTAAATAATTAAGTTGTGAAAGCTTACAAAGGCTGAAAGTAGCTACTGTTCTTAAGCTAAACACATTTGGATTGTGTCTTATGTATACAGTGTTTCCCGTAAACTTGTGTGTGCCTTACCAGACGAATGGACAAGCCAAGGAAAGCATAGCCGACATTGTTTGTTCAACTGTAGCGTAACATAAATAAAACGGAATGAAAGTGGACGAAAAATCACCAATTTGATCTGTTAGACCTGACCCCACTACCTTCAAAGTATACGTCCGGATGCTCTATCACTCTTTGAAACGAGTATCCCCATCGCCTTAGTCGGGTATCTCCAAAGGTGTTAGCCAGCGCCACTTCTAGGCAAGGTGGCCAGTGAGAAACGTTTTCGCCAGAGGCTGTCACGTGGTGAGACAGCTCATGAATATTGTGCTAACCTAAGCTGTTAATTCTATTGTTCATCCGTAGTGGAAACCTCACCCTGGTACAGTTGTTTATATTGTGGATTATTTCATTCTTCAACGCAACCAAATAAATTGGACAATGAGTCCAAGAAAGCGTAGCAGGCACTGTCTTGAATGGTCAAGCGTAGTAATTATGACGGCAAATTAAGGCGGACGAAGAATCTCCCTTTCTGTGCGTGGGGTTGGAACCCATAACTTCCGATTATCACGTGCGATGCAGTACCGGTTGTAGAAAAATATCCCCATTCGTTCGTCCTAAGTGTTGCGCTGTTCGGCCGCCATATGTAGAATCTAGTTTTTAGCGACTGTCAGATATGTTAGACCCATACTGTAAAATAAATTACACAAGCGCAACGTTTTTTGCGACGCTTCGCCATCTTTGTATTTCACCACCATATTTGACTGCAGTTAAATTGGTCAACCCAGCTGCACGCTTTTCTTAGCCATGATATATATGCATTCACAATGTGCATTGTAGTGGCATATTGATGCTTTTTTGCTTATTTATCCATCAAAAGTGTAGCAACTTGGCTAAATTCATCTGTCAATCTGTGTTACAGGGAGGCTCTCTTCTGTGCGTGCATGTGTTTGCTCGTATTACTGGCGCATCTTACGCTCTTCCATTTTGCCCCTTCACCTGTGAACTCTGTACTCCAATTCGCTTTGGTCTTGAGGCTATTGCGCGGACGCGCTTGGAAGGTTCTCGTTTGTCCAATGAAGAGATTTAGTTGAAGTATCGTCATGTGTGGGTAATAGACTTCATTTCTTTGAAATCTATTTTCTTCTAGTATCCTGGTCAGAGAGCGTCCACAGCATTCGTATATGGTCCGTGGCTAACACTTCGTCACCTGGTTGTGGTCCGCAAGCTTCAAACTACCTGTTATACCCTTCAGTTTCTTTCTCTGCTGGTATTGACTTTCCAACTCGGCAGTGCGCTTTGCATGCTTTGGTCTTGATTCACCGTGCCGGTAAACATGTAAGAGAATCAATAGGCCAAAAAGAGCACAATGCGACTGGAGTGTATGTGGGGCTGGGCCATAGTCATGACAAAGAAAAAAAAACAACTTTCGCTATGATGAGAGCAGGTATGGCACGTAATGCTTTCCCATTTTTATTTAGTTTGTTACTGTGTTCCTCTGTATATGATTTTGTAGAAAACAAATAGACGAGCCCGAGGACAATAAGCACCCGGGTGTGCTAGTGCATTTTGATAGGGTCGTGGATTTTAGGGTTGGGGTCCTGTCTCTCGCAGCGGTACGTTGCAGTAGTAGCCGCTTCTAGTTTAAGAATTGCTCACTAGATTGCATTGTGTGTATGTCTTTGTAAATAACATCGCTAGATGGCGTTATTGGTTTTTGTATAGTTGACGGTTTCGTATAATTAATGGACGGACGCTTCGCGTCACTCATCATTCACTCCGTGGATGTGCTGTGATTTTTTTTTTTGGCGGGGAGGAGTTCTAGAATGTTGATTGTCAATCAGATGATCATAAGTACGTGCCGCTTAGTGAATTTTGGTTGTCTTGAAGACGGCATGTTTTTGCCAGCTAGGATTGAGAATGTTTTAGGTGGCCAGCGGAACCAACATTGCGAAATTTGCAGGCAATTGCCCCACCCGGTTGCTTACTTTCTAGCTATATATATATACATGCCCAGCATTGTGTAATAGATAAATGCAGTGAGCACATTTTCTTAACCATGTTCATCAATATGCAGTCGGGTAAAACTTGAGAGGACCACATAAGCCCGCCCAAATAAGTGAAGTACGGCTGCCGGTCGCCCGTGGTTAAAGGAGTGCTGCTCATGCACTCCGTGGCGTTCTCCAAAAAAAAAAAAAAAGTGACCAGTTGTTGAGTTGCGGAGTTGTTGACAGCCGGAGTACAAGCCCATTGGTGCTGGCTTGTGTGAAATCGCCTTTGAGGAAGCAATGCCGTTGACTTGCATCAGTCAGTCTAGTAGAGGGCGAAAATTTATTTAATGCTCTTATTAGGGAAACATACCGATTTTCAGAAGTAGTGAGGATTGTGTTTAATTTCTTATTATATGCTGCTCTGCACATTTGCGAATAATAAATGTGAAGCAATAGAAGAAAGATATTGTGCAAGTACTTTTAGGCATCTACCATTTCAGTGCTTTTTCCTTCTTTTGGCTGAAGCATATGGTTACTTATTTTTATTTTTATTTATTTATTTACATAATACTGCAGGCCCAGTGAAGGGCCCAAGCAGGAGGGACGTATTTACAAAGCTCGTAATAAGGACAACAGAAGATCAAGAACATGAAAAGCGCGAAGAATAAGGACATAACTCAAACAATGAATAAGAAAGACATTTAACACTTTAACAATACAGGTCAAGACACAATATGTTCAATTGAGTCTATGCTATTTATGAACAATGCTGGTAATTGATTCCATTCGGTTACAGTGCGCGGGAAAAAGGAGAATTTGAAAGTGTTAGTTCTAGCATTGAAGAGCGTTAGAGAGTCGGCATGCCGGTGTCTTGTTCTGCGAGCGGTGAGTGGTTGG